ACACACACACACACACACACACACACACACACACATATATATCCTACTGGCTCTGTTTCTTTCCTGACACAGGCATCTACTATTTTCTACCACTATACTTATATTACCAGAATTAGAGATAGAAAGAAGCCTATTATATGGTCTTTGTCCTTGAAAAATTCATAACCTAAGGAGTACAAAAAGTCAGTATTGTAAACTAGGTCAAGCAGCAGTATATTATTGTAATGCTTAATTTTATATGTCCATTTGACTGGAGTAAGGGATACCCAGACAGCTGGTAAAGCATTACTTCTGGGTGTGTCTGTGAGGATGTTTCCGGAAGATATTGGCATTGAATGAGTGGACTGAGTAAGGAAGATCTGCCCTCACCTAAAGTGGGCAGGCACCATCCAATGGTTGAGGGCCAAACAGAACAAGAAGGCAGAGGAAAGACAAATTTATTCTCTCCTCTGGAGCTGGAACACCCATCTTCTCCTGCCCTGGGACATCGGAACTCCAGGTTCTCTGGCCTGTGGACTCTGGGATTGGCACCAGCAGCTACCCAGGTTCTCAAGACTCTGATTCAGTTACTCCCTGGCTTCCCTGGCTCTCCAGCTTGCTGATGGCAAATCACGGAACTTTCCAGTGTCCATAACCATGTGATCCAATTCCTATGATAAATATCCTCTTACAGGATATATCAGTATTTATCTATCTATATCCTGCTGGTTCTGTTTCTCTGGAGAACCCTAACCAGTACGATTAACCAGTGTCAAATAAGCGGTATTGACTTAAGTATTCAAGAAACTTAGTAATAAAAGAGAGATCTTTGTGGGCTTGGAGAATGCTCAAGGAAGGCACCCTGGAGGAATGAGAACAAGGGTCAAGAGTGAACGGCTTGGTTGAAGTTATACACAATCTATTAAATCTCAATTCCTTCACTGGCTGCTTACTCATAAAATGTTCCGAAGCTCCACTGAGTAATTAGACATTTTTCCTGAAATGCCATGAAGGGAGTACAAAGAAACCATTTGTAGTTTAGAAAGCTTAAAAGATTGAATTCCTCTCCACCACTTGGTAGCAGTATGATCTTGGACAAACAGCATACCAGCAGTCTGGAACCTTTTTGGCACCAGGGACCAGTTTCATGGAAAACAATTTTTCCACGGACTGGGGCTGGCGGTGGGGGTGGGGAATGGCTTGGGGATGATTGAAGTGCATTACGTTTATTGTGCACTTTATTTCTATTATTATTACATTGTCACTTGCCACTCACTGATAGGGTTTTGATATGAGTCTGCAAGCAATTGATTTACCATGGTCTCTGTGCAGTCAAACCTCTCTACTGATGAGAATCTGTATTTGCAGCCACTCCCCAGCACTAGCGTCACCGCCTCAGCTCCACCTCAGATCATCAGGCATTGGATTCTCATCAGGATCACACAACCTAGATCCCTCGCATGCGCAGCTTGCGGTAGGGTGCGAGCTCCCGTGAGAATCTCATGCCATTGCTGACCTGACAGGAGGAGGAGCTTAGGCAGTGACGCGAGTGATGGGAGTGGCTGTAAATACAGATGACGCTTAGTCCCCCACTGCCGCTCACCTGCTGCTGTGAGGCCCAGTTCTTAACAGGCCACAGATTGGTACCGGTCCACGGCCCGGGGGTTGGGGATGGCAGCTGCATACTACTGTAAGCCTCGGAGTCTTAATATGTAAAATGGGGATAACAGTACACATCCTGTCTACCATGAGAAATAAATGAAATATAATAAGGTTCTTAGCACTGTGCCTTTCACGGAGGAAGTGTTCAATCAATGTTAGGTGAATGCAAAAACATCTCCACATCTTTAAAAAGAATGCTACTAAAAATGAAACCCAAACAACACTAAAGTTCAAATAAGAGGAAGTACCCTAGATAAATACATTTCAAACTAATGTCATAAGCTAATTATTCAAAAGTTAAATTTTTTGTCTTTAAAATAATTATTTTACTCAGATTCTGAAACCTGACCAGACTTTTATATTTTTACCATTTCTACTATGTGTAAGAACTCTCAGAATAAAATTTATAACTAAATCTCCTTTGTGAATAAGGAATTTACCATGAAAAGATGTTTTATATCATCTAAAAAATATGTTCTGCATTCACACTACAGTACCTTGAGGAATATCTTTAGGAGGAGAATATTTCTTCTTCTTTACAATAACACGTTTACTTTTCACTAGTCTAGTTCCTGGTGATGCTCTAATAATACAACATATTTCTGATGCATTTGAAGGAAACTGAAAAAGAAAAAAAAAGCAGATACTGTGTAATTCCTCCAAATATTGTCTTTATATGTTGCTTTATTTCAAATAGAAATAGTCTCAATATTCGTATTTCATAGATACCAATAGCAAGCATTTACTAAATGCCTACTCACTCCAGAACTAATTGGTTTTAAAACATTTGCTCATTTAATACTCACAAGAACCAAGCAAGGCAGATTATATTATCCATATTTTATAGATGAGGAAACTTGGTTTCAGAAAGATTGGATAATTTAGTTAAGGATAGAGAGCAAGTCCTGGTAGAGTTGAGATTTACACACTTCAAAGTGGGAGAGAAAGTTTGCATGATTTATTGAGTTAAAATAAAAATTTAAATTCTAAGTCAATTCCAGCCTTCATTTTCCCTTCTTCTGGTCCTGAACAGTATTAGAGTTTTTTTTTTGAAGAATCTACTCACTCTACCAGCCTACGCACCACCCCTTCTTTATAGATTAGATAGAGTTGATAATACTTTTGAACACCATGGTTATCACAAGACCCAGCCTAGCCAATCAACATATTCCGTGATCCTGGACACATGAACTCAGAGGCAAAAAAAAAATTAGCTCAGGATAGTTCCAGGCAGTAATGAAGGATGAACTATATTTTCCCTCCTAAAATTTCCTTACACCACAATAAGAGAAGTGCTAAACTCATGAGAAAGCTACCCTGTGTAATACATCAAGCAATGGACTTAAGCCCCCAGAACATCAGATATTGGAACTGCCAAATCAGAATAAATTAGCCATTTATGAAATTATTGAAGAATTAACAATTGAAATCTCAAGGATGAACAACCAACAGAGAGTATCAAGAATGAAAAGCAGATTCGAAAAAGAAACAACCAGAACTACCTCAAATGAAAAATAAAATTATTGAAATAAAAAATTCAGTGAAATGCTTAAGAACTGAAATAGATACAGATGAAGAGAGAATTACTAAAGAAATTACCCAGACTACAACAAATAA